GGACTAGCCGGTTGGCCATGAAGAAGAACTCCACCACCACAAAGGAGGAGAAGCAAATTCAAGAAGTCAACACGGCCATAGAGCTTCCTCAACTTATTACTCCTAGTACTGTAATTACAAACGAAGCTTTTGGTGAGCTTGAGCGGGAGTTGTTACAGAGCGAGTCTTTAGGTCTGAGCCCAATTAGCCAAGCGGTGGACAGTTGGGTGTGGGCATTAGATGACTTGTTAACTGCGACCGACGACATGAGCTCAAGTGATCAGGCCTTCAATGTGAGTGGGCCAGAGGAGCCCACCTCGGTCCAAGTTGAGGAGCTGCTGGATTGGGACGGGGAGGAAACTGAAGCCACGTTCTGGGGTGAGGCCCACGAGGGGGAGGATGTGCGATCATGGCTTTGGGTTGTTGAAGACGACGACAACAACAGCAACAACAATAATAATGGGGAGTAGAACGTAGAATCTTTTGCTAGTTGGCTTCGTTCAGATGTCCTTGTGTAGAAGCAATCTGAACTTTTTGGCAGCAAGTTGGTGTGTGAGCGCGCGCGCTTGTACTACTAATAAATGTGCAGAGTTTTCATGTGGACTGTTCTCACATATGTTTGCACTTTGCAGTCTTGTTTTCTGTTAGATCCTAGCCAGCCACCTTATATCATAGCCCGCCTCAGCCGCATCCTAGCCACCTCAGCCGACTCTTAGCCGCCGCCTCCTATGAGCCTTTAATTGTGTATATATATATATATCATGTAAATGTGATCATCAATAATACTGAGTTCTCTTCAATACCAAATTTACATGGTATCAGAGCTTCAATCCATTAAATTTAGTCAGTGATCTTACCTACTTCTGCCGCCGCCTCCGCCTGATCCACTGGGCTAGGCCTCGTTGACGGTGATGCTCCTCCCAAGCTCCCGTCAAAGCTCTTCCTGCCTCGCTGCTATCTCTCTCCAAGTCTGAAGCCTCTCAAGCTCCTCTGAGCACAGCCTCGATCTCATGTCGAACTCCTGACCGAGATCCCAACCTCGCCTCCCGTGGTATATTGGTAACTAGATCCCTCTTCTTTCGACAGGCAGCCCTTCTGCACCTTCTTCTCCGTCTTTGGCTCCTCGTCCGACTTCTCCATCGGGCTTCTTCTCCGCGGGCTTCTTCTCGGCCTTCGGCGCCAAGAGGTGGTGGAGGATCTCGCCTCTGCTCGGTCTCTCTTCGATATCTATAACCATCGCTGCTGACGACGACGCGTCCTCTTCCAGCTTCTTCTTCTGGCCTTTGCGCTGCTTGTGCATCGCCGATTCCTTCTACTGATGCTGGTGATCTCCCTCCATTAACAGCAGCTGGAGATGAGAGAGAGAGAGAGAATTTGGGGACACAGTCTGAGACTGAAAGGAAAGGAAAAGGGGTTCAGATCCCCCTCTGCTTCGGCTTGGTTTTATTTTATCTGAGGCCAATCTTCAGGCCCAGGCCCATCTGTTATCTAAAAAATCAAAAAAAAAAATAAAAAAAATAAAAAAAAAGAACAAGAAATTTTCTCAGGGTCCTTCTAACAGTATATCTGATTCATCTCGGCAATTCTACTGTCGTTATTGTAATAAGTGAGGTCATCTTATTGATAAATGTCGTAAGGGACCACCTCGTCCGACACTTGAGAAGACTCGAGCTCCATTTGCTGCTTTGGTGATATTAGTGTTTGGTTCGAAAGTTGGTTTCTTCATTGTATGACTCATTACAACTTCAGTCGTTACAATAAGATCAAAAAGATACAAATATTTTTAAAGTATATACATTCAATGTTAATATATAAGTAATTTAGGAATATGAAATATTATAAAATTAAATATATTTAATTTGAAATATATTAAGTATTTAAATAAGTAAAGAGAACAGGAGAGAGAAAATCCACATAGTGAGATCACAATCCACCAATTACAACTTGGTCTTTCTTTGGAAAACTTTTCATTAAAAGCTATAGAGTAGAATTGCAATGGAGTATGGATTTTAAAATCCTAGTACTAGTAACAATTTTAAACAACCAATACCACTTTAAATTCAAATCCGAATCCTAGTCCTAAACCAATAACACGTTAAATTTAAATTCAAATTATTCACACTTGTTGATATGGCACTAGTACTCAAATAAGGTAAATTTCACAAAACTTTGTGAACCTTTTAGAGGGTTTCACACAAAAGCATCCTGAACTTTATAAATCACAGAAACCCCTGAATTTTATGAATCACAGAACGCCCCCCCCCCCCCCCCCCCCAAAAAAAAAAAAATAAAAAAAAAAGTTGCATTCGAAAGCTATGTTTTACAGCTTATGATATTTAAATGTAAAGATGATAAAACAATATAGTATCTAAGTGCCATTTAGTCTTAGAACTACACGCCCATTTTCTGCAACCCAAACAGCTTCCATCTCAACATCAAGCCATAAAAACCCATCTATAGCAAGCCATAGCCTCAAGACCATAAAAACCACACGTAGGACTTAGGAGATACTTGCCTAGTGTTTCTGCTCTACTTCCCTTCAAACTATCTTCCTTTATGACAAACAACATTCATCATCAAATGCAACACAATACCCGACTTCTGGCCTTATCAATTAATCAAGACCTCCTTGGGCACATAAACACTCAGTATAGACATATCTTTACATCGAGAAAACTTGACTAGTATGCTAAAAAAACAATTCTCTTCAGCATGATCTTCGACGTCTCTCTGGTGAGAATCTCACATCAAAACATTTCTCCTCCTGATTCAAATTGGCATCCGAAAACGTCTCATCGAAATGCTCAACCTGATCAAGACTCTGATGGTACTCAACTTCCTCGTCCGAACTCTTCTCACAAGAACATCCTCTATGATCCTCTCCTAAACTCTGCATATTGCCTTGTACTCCATGAACAACCGAGCAATTAGGCTGTGTTCTCATCTGAACTGACCTCAAAAGTGCAGCTTTTCTGAGATCTGCAGTGTGGCATACATCACTCGGTGAGGATGGGAACCGGCCCTCTGAGTCTGACCTACGTTGCCGAGGATAGGAGCAGACCACTGACGGGAGAGTGCAAGAGGGGAAAGGGTATTGATTTATAGAAGAAAATAATCCGGATATTGGTTTCTGATGCCTGTGAGGGGAGACCGGGCTGGTCGGTCTGCTGATGATGTCAGAGTGGATGGATGTGCTAAAAAGGGGGTCACAGATGAAGCGAGGATCATCAGAGTCTTCTGACATTGGAGAGTAGGGTGCAGTCACTTCATCCCTGGAAGGTCACAATGGTAAGAGCTAAACTGTGAATTACTGGATATGAACTGGATCTAAAATAACTTGAGCATGATTAAAGCCACAAGAATTGGAGAACAATAACATGCTCCCAATGTCACATGTAACCAACTTTTTCATGCACCAAATTATCTCCAATATTTTCACTTCACAACAGAAGGGGGAAAAAAGATGATGCTTGCTAGGCATTTCTATATGAATCATATCATGCTCTTAGTATAAAAAGCTTAATAATGAAAAGACCATTGGCCAGTAAAGGGCACTAACAAATTTCAACTTAGAAGTTCAAGGAATTAGAAACAGAGCATAAGAACACCGCTTACTAAAAGTAAGCAGAGAAGTTGAAGGTGCATGCTCTATTTTGCATACCAAGTCTTGAAACTAAATAAAGGAGGTTATTATGCCCTTGCCTTTACCATCACATGTCCAGAATTGGTAGACTATTCCAAGTGTAAGATAATTCTATATAATGATGGGTGAACTGAGTCAATCTGTGGTGGGTAATTCTTTATATTGTATTACTCGATATATATTCGAGTATATTCCAAAAGTATTTGCATTCGAATTTGAAGAAATTCAGAGAATGATATTTGAATTCATACTCAATTTTGAATACTTTATGAATATAAATTCAAACACAGAGGTATTCTATTCAATTCGTTCGAACCCTAGTCCAACCTGACCACATAAAATGGCCTTCGGTGTGTTTGCTTGCATGAAAGTAAAAAACGTAAATGTGAAAGTGACACACTTCTTCCATTTCACGTGTTTGTTTTATTATAGTGCGGAAGTTTAAAAAAAAGATTCATGCCAAATTTAATACATATTTAAATGTCCATAATGCCTAAGTCAATACTGTAACTGGAAAAGTGGGGATCACTTATCTGCAGTTAATGAACACACATTAAAGTCTACTATGATGTTAAATAAATTAATAAAATGAAATTATCAAACCATCTTACTTGTCTAGTTCCAACGATATTTTTTTAACAAACACTGAATATTTCACTTGCATTTTGATGTGAATGTGATTCATAGTTTTCCTAAATCCAACATGATTTTGGTGTACTCAATACATGTCAGGCAAGTGTCATGCAATTATCATAGCAAAATATCAGAGATCCATGGTACACAAATAAGTATTTTCATGCAAACCAAAACCTGAGTGCTTTCAGATGTACTTCAAGATTTCAAGTACTTCAAAATTTTGAGGGACTTCAGTGGCTTCAGACTGATATTAAAATACCCATGCTACATAGATTCGTGCAAACAGAAACCTGATTGCTTAGCTTCGTGCAAACAGAAACCTGATTGCTTTTAAAGATACTTACAGGATCTTTAAGTACTTCAAAAAAATTTAGGAATTTAGTGGCTTCCTCTGTGCAGTGAAAATTCTCTAGTGGCAAATGTTTTTATTTCCTTTTAACTGAAAGATCCATTTATTTATCACAATAATTATCTTTCATTCCCGTTTCTAAAATATGCATCACCACAAGCTCATTAAGCCTAAGAAGCAAAAAGTTGGCCAAAGCAGCATTTGTTACTAGCAACTTAGTTACCATAAAGCTGGATGATGCCTCCATTTTATTTACAATGGATAGAATATATGACTTCGAAACACGTGATATCAATTTTCAACTATGCTCTTTTAGCAGTTTCCGTCATTCTACCCTGAAGGATATACAAGCCCCTCTCTCCATAAGCATTGTCTTTGGTCACATGGTGTAACGTCTATTGGTTGGTCGGTTAACAGTATGCCTAGGCTTCCTGTTAATGAACATATCGTTAAATCAAAGTTCCAATTAATACTCTCCTTTTGACGCATTCATGTTCATTCCTGGCGTCTCTCAATCAAGTGGATACCGCCTTTAAAATATTAGCATTTATTGTCTTATAATACATGTAATTAGGAACCCAGCAACTATTTGGATATTTAACACTTTTAACTTGATATTCATATCGGATTGAGACAAATTCAGACATGGATTTAGTACAGATATTAACCAAGTCTTCTTAAATACAACTAACGCTTTGCAAGGAAATGACTAGTCCCTTCGATTGGTCATGACATGTAACGTGATGGAAATATATACAAGTCAAGAAATGTTCTTGTACATTAGGATATATTTTCAGTTATTTGGTCAGTCTACTCTTACCCATTGTGATATTCATGTTTTACACAGATGGAGATATCCATATTTATGCAATACAGTAAGAACTCAAAATAGATCCAATAATTTGTATTCATATGGGTAAAAAAAGGAAAGTAGCTAAAACTTTGATATTCTCCAGTTTGACTTTCGCATCATAGATTATCATTCACCATCATGTCTTGGTCTACATCAAAAATAAAAAATACGATATAAGCTTCCCCCTATGACAGTACACATCCTAATGGTTATAGAAAACGTGCATCTCTTTGTCGACTTATGATTTTGATTTCATTATCTTTTGACGATAACAAACTACATTTGCAAGCATATTAATTCATAGTGTTTAAAGGAATATGAAATGATGAAGTTTGGAAGTCGTTGCTTTAGTGCTCAGCGCGACAACATTCAAATACAACAATCAGTAGCAGAAAATTCAAATAAGAAGATTAGATATCAATGTGATATTATGTGAAGGCAAATGGACTCAGCATAAAAAAGAATGAATAAACACATCAACTGAACTACAATGAATATAGGTAATGGTGTTGAGGTGTTTTAGATATTTCCTGTAAATTCATGTCTGTAACATTTGTTAGTTTCAACTTTAACACACATAGGAGCGTTCTCTATTTTGTTACAAGTCCATAGAATCAAGTTTGAGTCAATTTTGAGCTATATAGCTCAAAACCAATTTCGTGAACCAAGGGCAAAACCGTAATAATCTACATATATAGCATCAAACGAACAAAAAAACACAAACCAATAGATCTATCAACCACTCAACCAGTCAATTGACCTGTCAACAGGCCTATGGGCCGACAAGCGAATTCAGCAACAATCTACATGAATCTACTGAATTGGTTTGCCTTTTCTGGATATAAAAACATTAGGATTTTGTGATTTCTTGCCTTTCTAAGGTGATTGCAGACCAATTTTGAACTTTAACTGTACTAAACATATGGGGAAATTACATTTGATATGTAGCCGTCTTGTTCCCTGCCAAAAGCCTATAGACAGAGCTCCATTCTCATTTAGACAAAATCTAATGAAAATGGGTGAAAAATAGAGCGCAAATATTCCCAACCTTTTTGAGCATATATTTCTAATCTTTTTGAGAGAAAAATTCTCGTGATTATTCACAACAATCTTTAGCCATCTTGATCTACAATGTCGGATTCATTTGAGGCATTTCAGGTCAAAAAGGGTTGAGCGTAGATTGGATCTATCCATCTAATTTGTAGCTAAGTTCTCACTAACCAATTAATATGTTCTTTCATTTAAATATCATTATTAGAATTGGATCTTAATTGCAGAGTCACGCTTCTAGTTGTAATTAACTTTTATTTTGCAGGGGTACAAAATAATTGTTATATGTGCTTAACAATCTCTATTTAGTGCAAAGAGATTTGTTCTTGTGACTTGTTCTCCTAGGTGTTAGGAGATTGTATTGATCTCTAGGATGTTAGAGATCAGAAGTTGGCCCTAAGGTTTAGAGAGTTTGTCCAATGGAGCAGCCTAACTACTGTAATATCAAGATGTAACATACCCACTTGACTCCCGCAATATCTAAGGTGCAATAGAGCTCTTGACTCTCGCAATATCAAAGTGTGACTCAGTCTCCAGGTTGGAGCAGTCTCAAGTGGAACCTCAACTAGCAAGGACACTATCACCGTGACACTATCAGGAAGAGTGGATGTAGACAAGTTTACTGACGCACTATAAAATCTATGTGTTTGTGGTTGTGCATTTCTGTGATCTCTAAACATGCATATTTCTTCCGCATTTAATATCCATATCTGTGTTGCAAGTTAGATATAAAGATTGTGTTGTGAGAATTGATTAAGTTGTTTAATATAACTGTTAAAGAACGATATATACAATCAAACAAGAAAATTCCTCATAAGCTGTCGCATTGCCCTATGCAACACCCTTCCCCATCGGGTGATTTTCACTCTAGACATGCACAGGTGAATAAGCCAACTTGTGGGATATGTGACAGTTAATCTTCACGGGATATGTTAACAACAAGGCCTACACCCATAGGCCATAGCATGCGTGAGGGTTGCACTATCAAAAAATTAATATAGCTCATGCATCATTAAGGAGGGGACCCAGGCAGGCCTTATAGCAGAGAGCACGGTGGTTGAAAGGCATCAGCTCAGCTAATTATGGGTTGGTGATGTCAACTACGTAACATGCTTTATGGCCACAGACATGTCAACACGGACATAAACATATTAAAATATGACAAATTCTGAGAATACACATAATATGCATGTTCCGCACACTTCCTGCATGTATTGCTTAACAATGGAAATTCACATGCTATACACAGGTTATGAGTTACAGGAAAAGAAAGAACTGATGAACCATTTACCCAAAGTCCAGACTATTAACTGATTGACTTCCTCTCCTTCTAGTTGCTGGTCAACCTCGTTGTCACATTTTACAGGGAGGTTTTAATTCTCTTCATTACTTTTGTTCACTTCTTCATTTTCACTTCCTTTTTCTAGGCTTCTACATCTTCCTATTTTTCTCCATCCTTTCTTCCTACTGCTTCATTTATGGTTTTTCAGGTTCTAATTTGTAAGCTCTTTTGTTTTGGTTTGGTTGTCATTCCGCACTTCTCCTGTTGTTCTTTTTACTTCCTCTCTAACTTCGGTGATGTTCTTTTTTCACTCACTAGCTATTAGGTCACTGCAAAATCTGTCCACTACTTCTCCGTCCATTATGGGAAATAATAGAAAAAGACTTCATAATAATACTTTATTTTATTATACATAACTTTGCAATTTGTCTGAGCATTAATGATTACTCATGCAAATGTACTGCATTGCTAGCAACTGTCTTATTTTTGAAGAAAAAAAAACTGCACTTCAAGGAGACAATCCCCTTAGTGATACAAGAGACTTTTCCAAACAAAATTGACTATAATTTGCCACTTCAGAATGGCAATTTAATCCTTTTCAGGAGGAGTTACTTCTACCTTACAGGCAGAGTAAGAAATTCCTCTAAACTGAACAAGCTTCATCCCTCTATCTACTACCTCGTTCCCTCAAACCAACAAGAAAGAAAGAAAGAAAGAAAAAATTGACTCTTGTTGTTTTTTTCTTCCAAATGGCACTTTTTAATCATAAAGAATAAAGACAATGAAGAACGCTATGTTGTTTTTTATGCAACAAACATGCATATATGCTTCTACAAGTAACAACAAATGCTTGTTATTGTCATTGCTTTTCTTGGGAGTCCAAATTCAGTGGTTAAAAATAGAAAAAAGGGAAATCATCTTAGATATTCAATACTACTTGTTTACCTATAGCTTCTGAGGTTGTTAGAGTTTAAATTTTAAAAAAGGATGCTAGTTCATACGATTGTGGGAGTAATATAACACTTATTAACAGTTCAAACTGTTCCTCTTTAACTTCAGCTTAGATATTCTTTCATAGCATTTCCATTGTAATTTTATACAATGTCTTTCCTATTCCTTTTCCTATTATGTGAAAAGTGTATGATTAATTGGTCGTCGATATCCAAGTGTGTTGTGGTGTGCCATGTCCGACATGGAAATTTGACAGGAAAATAGTATTTGGTAATGCTGCATATAGCCAAAGAAAATTTTAGGATAAATTCTGTGTTCTTTTCATTGCTGTAATTAATTAATTATCGAGATGGCCAAACACAACAATGAAGTTGTATATTACAAAATAAACTTCTAGCATATGGAATTCAGCACTTCCCGTAATAGTCATTATGCTTTATACTCTTTGTTATGAAAAGGAGATTACATAAATGCATCTGAACCTTATTCATCCATTAAGTTCTTAAATAGCATCAATCTGTTTCCCATGCGTATAGATTGTATTATAAATTTTAGGGACTCTATACCAAACTTCTGATCTAAGAGCATGGGCAGCGAGCTCCCATCTCCGCTCTCAAGTCCGACGTGGCCTCGGTCTCCGAAAAATCCCCTTCCAACAGCCTCCGAAGCCCTCCCAAGCTTCGCTCTCAGGTCCGACGTGGCGGCCACCAGCTTCGGAGCTCCCAAGCGCTCCACAAATTTGTGGAGCGCTTGGGAGCTCCCAACTGGTGGAGGATTTGCAAAAACCCCCCTCCAAAATCAGAAATCGGGGTTTGCTGTGTCGAAGATTTGGGGATGAGGGCTTTTGGGTCTGTCGAAGAATTGGGGATGAGGGCTTTTGCGGTGGCGGTGGCGTTCGGAGACTGCGATGGCCAGCTTGGGTCTGTCGAAGAATTGGGGATGAGGGCTTTTGCGGTGGCGGTGGCGTTCGGGGATGAGGGCTTTTGGGTCTGTCGAAGAATTGGGGCTGGGGTTGTCGAAGGAGAAGAAGGATTGGGATCTTTGATTTGGGAATTTTTGTGAATTTTGATTGGGGCTGGGGTTGTCGAAGGAGAAGAAGGATTGGGATCTTTGATTTGGGAATTTTTGTGAATTTTGTGAATTTTTTTTTAAAATGGATTGCGATCTTTGATTTGGGGAAGAGGGCTGTTTGATTTTGTCGAAGAATTGGGCCTGCGGTTGAAGATTTGAGCTGCAGTAATTTTTTCTTGTTGATAATCGAACGTTGTGGAATACTCCACCGATCCAACGAATCGCACACCAAACCAAATGATGCACCGTTGGTCAACGATTCAACTGTCGGTCAACAAGTTCTGCGGGTGCGTTGCTCAGATTGAAGGAAGACAAAGATCTGGTACGGGAATTATTGACCAGGTAAATATTTAACTTATATGTTTTTATGTAAATATTTAACTTATATGTTTGATTATTCTAAATTTAACTCTTGTGTAGACTGCAGAAGTAAAAGAATTATATCAATCCCTTTATGGTAAGCCATTCGTGTTTGACCATTGTTGGGTTGAGTTGCGTCATCACCAAAAGTGGAGCCAACAAATGGAAAATTACAATAAGATTCGATCACAGCCGAGAAGAACCACGAACTCTGATTCCTCACCAAACAATTCCATGCCAGCGACCCCCATCGAGTTGAACATTGACTCGGATGATGTTATAGCAAGGCCTGAAGGGAGGAAAGCGGCAAAACTCAAGAGGAAACAAAATGTGGACAAATCTGATTCCGCTAAGTCCATTATGGGAGAGGCTTTCGCGTGGATGAAGCAAACCAACAAAGAAAAAATGGAGCTAAAACAGAAGAAACAAGATGACGATATCATGAAGATCGATCTCTCAACACTCAATTCAGTTCAACGTCAATACTTTGAAATGCGTCAGGCAGAGATTTTGGAGAGGTGGATGTCCAAGGGTTCTTCCTAATTATCATATATTGTACTCGCATCGCATCCTCATTAGTTCTTCCTAATTATCAATTAGTATCTTATATTAGATTTATGATTGTACTTGAAGTTGAAAATTTTGGCATTGAATGAAAACAACTACTTTATTAAAAATGAAATTGGCGTAGTACAACAACTTGAACTCCTTTTCTGAAATTACATTAGACATAAAGAAACTTAATCCTCGGCGATGGATCCCTTAAGCTGCCACAGATGCTCGATCAAATCATTTTTTAGTGATTTGTGTGTTTGCGTGTTCCTGATCCGATGATGATTTTGGATGAACTCAGTTAGAGGCACCGTCTGCACATGAGAAGGTTCAACGACTGGTACCGAATCAGTAAAGTCGAAGTTGTTGTCCAATTGACAATCACGTTCATCTTCAACGATCATGTTATGCATTATGATACAAGCTGTCATGATATCTTTCAGCACACAAGGTTGCCAGAAACGTCCTGGTCCACGAACAATCGCAAATCGAGCTTGCAACACGCCAAAAGCTCGCTCAACATCTTTTCTTGCGCTTTCTTGTTGTTGAGCAAAGTACTTATGCTTGTTTCCTCGAGGTGCTGGAATAGTCTTCACTAATGTGGACCACTCTGGGTAAATCCCGTCGGCGAAATAGTATCCCATATTATACTCGTGGCCATTGACAGTATAGTTGCACGGCGAAGCTCTTCCCTCCGCAAGTTGTGCGAAAACCGGTGAACGATGTAGAACATTAAGGTCATTGTGAGACCCCGGCAGTCCAAAGAAGGCATGCCATATCCAAAGATCTTTGCTAGCTACGGCCTCCAAAATAATTGTGGGTTCATGAAAATGTCCAGTATACATACCTTGCCAAGTAGTTGGATAGTTCTTCCATGTCCAGTGCATGCAGTCGATGCTCCCAAGCATACCAGGAAAACCTCGTTGTGAGCCTTCCTCGAGCAGGCGTGCAACGTCTTCATTAGTCGGTGCACGAAGGTATTCCTCTCCAAAGATGTTGATAATCGATCGAACGAACCTCTTCACGCTCTCAAGCGACGTACTTTTACCGATCCGAACGTAGTCGTCAACGGAGTCAGCGGATGCTCCATATGCGAGCATCCGCATAGCTGCAGTAATCTTTTGAAGACTAGATAAAAGAACGTCTTTATCATTTCATCATCGCTAGAGCTAGATGAGCTAGACATTTTATTCTGGGAGATGATGGGTTGAGGAGAGAAGCCGTCGAATTTTATAGGCATCAGTCGGTTGACGGTCAAAGTTTGCGATACCTCGAACTTCGTGCCCAACATCGAAGACCGCGGGTTACCTCGAAGACCGTGTGCGTTCCCTCGAAGACCGCGGGTTACCTCGAAGACCGTGTGCGTTCCCTCGAAGACCGCGGGTTATCTCGAAGACCGTGTGCGTTCCCTCGAAGACCGCGGGATACCTCGAAGAGCGTGTGCGCTCCCTCGAAGACCGTGGGTTACCTCGAATTTCGTGTGCGCTCCCTCGAAGGCCGTATCCAACGGTTAGAAATAAAATACAAGAGGTTTAAATATAATTAAAAGTAATGAGTAAAATATTAAAATAGAAGAGGGTTTTTTTTGATATTGTTGGCGCTCCTAACTAGGAGCTTGTTGGAGCTCCATAAAAGAAAGAGTGCCTCCCAAGACATAATTTATTAATTTTTTATTCTAGATGGCTTGAGAGCTCTTGAGAGCATGCTGACTAGGACTCCCAACTGGGAGCTTGCTGCACTTGCTCTAACATATATGAAACTCCAATAACAGATTACACTTTCTGCAGGAAGAGAAAAATGAGAAACACAATGAACTAGGTAACAAAGGGCTTGAACCTTGAAGGAGACTCCATGAGATTCTCTGCCAGAGAATCCCCCACAGTCAAACAATTCAGACTGGATGCCATTATCTGCAGAACATAAATACTAATAAGAACACATCACCTCATGAAAATAGCAAAACAGACCACACAAATTTCCATAACCCCAAAACACAAAAGTTGGGGAAAAGTAATTCTCCAAATCAAAAAAAGATTTATACTTTCTATCTGTTGCGAGAAAACCCATTGCCATAAACAAAACCCAGAATCCAATTTACTCTTAAGTTGTCCAAAATTAGGTGCTGAATAATAGATGAAGATCAAGGAGATGACCTCACTGAGATATCTTTTGTGAGAATGGAAGTTATCGAGGTACATCTCGTCCTCTTCGGGATCTCTGCTCCTCTTCCCAGTTGGAGACGCCATGAAAACAGAAGATCAGAGCAGCTCCTCTCAATTCTTCTTCTTCTTCTTCTTCTTCTTCTTCTTCTTCCTTTTTCTCTCTCGGTGGCAAAAGAGCAAACATCTGTCATCCCCTTTAGGGTTTCTCTCGCTTTTTCGCTAGGTTGATTAACGGTCGGAGGGACCGAGATTAAGGATTAAAGCAGTCAACTTTCGGGATGATTAGTGGTAATAAATAAATGATTAATGAGAAGAAATTAAAAGGTAGGAGGCTAATTAGGGTCACATGATCATTGATGCGATGGGATCGTGTGGAGAGAGTGGGAAAAAGTATCGCGTGAGACGCTGAGAGCGCACCACACGTCTTTCTGGTTCGCACGCTAAAACTGACATGTCGGACACCTTTAATGAATTTTTTTAGTAGTTACACAAAATTACCCCACAGGTTTTCACCGCCATAAGGAAACCCCTCAAACTTTGTGAAACTAGGTGGGGTGCACCGTGCACATAGTTAAATAATAATTATTTATGAAACTTGGTGGGATGAGCATAGTTAAAATTATAATTATTTGGTTTATTTTCTTATTAGTAGAACTTGGTTGTGAAATGGTTTCTTTTAAATCTTCACTTGACGATGGAATATCGTCTGTGAAATTTCTTAATCTGTGAAATTTCTTAATACTTATGTTTATGTATTTTCAACTTTTATTTTATATATCATTGTGACCATAAGCAATTCAAGCAACAAATCATTCGAGAAGATTAGTCACACATATAACAACCAGTTTATTTAATGTCTCCAATCTAATAATAACAGATGACATAAAATTCTTATGTTAATCCCTAATGACTATATACTAAGAAAATCTAGCAATATTCAAGAAAATTTTCCCAATAAGGTTGCAAAGATAACCACGTTCAACTATTAGGTTGCTCAATTGTTATTATTTTAAAATTAATTCATCAAATCATTGAAATAGCTACTACATCCCCAATTCTTAAGTCATTTTAATATTAGCTCCTCCAATCAAGAGTAAAAAAAATGTAATAAAGGGAAATTAGACCCTAGAGTTGATAATCGTACCATTGATTTGAAGAAATAGTTTTAAAATAACTTCAAAATTAAGTTACCTAATAATAAATCTAATGCTTTGACGGACTAATTTCAAACTATGAAAGACGCAGCTAATAGAAAAAGTATTTTAATCAACCAAAAGGAAAAAAAAAAGTATTTAAAGGGAAATTAGTCCCTGGAATTGATAATTGAACGATTGATTTGAAGGGCTAGTTTTAAAATTAATTTAGACTTGAGTTACCTCATAATAATTTTAATGTTTTGACGGATTAATTTCAAACTATGAAAGATGGGGCTAATAGAAAAAACATTTTGATCAATCAATTATTGTTAATTTATTAATTAATTCCATAATTTGGTATCAATCAATTGCATGGTTAATAAATATTTAAACGTGCAATGCATATTATGTTTATAAAGTTAATGTCCTATAAGATCTTTTCCACTATTTTGTCAACTAATTCTAATTAGATCCATTTTTAATTAGTTTTGAATGGAGAGAGCTTTAATTTTGATGTTTACTTCTGACTTAATAGCTTTAGTTGGTAACTAATTATAATTAAGACAAGAATGTTAATATTGAAAATGATTATGGGTAAAATTGACTAAGAAAAGTCTTTTAAGAACTCCCACTTTAAAAAGTGAAGTATGAAGTATAATATGATGTCAGTAAGGGATGGGAGTCGACCAAGCCAGTTCAAGCCCGTTAATTAGCCTGCCAGATTCGAGGCCAGACTAAGTCATATTCGAATCTAGACATATCAACATAGGTTGGGTTTGTCTCTTTGATCCCGAGCATGGAACTAGACTCACCCCAACCAGGACTCACCTAGGTTTGGATCATGCCTGAACTGGCCCACGGTTCATGGGTCATGGGTTGATCTATGGGCTTTTTTAATTATATTAAACTTGAATTTATATTATAGAATTATACTTAAGTTTTTTAGAAAAATTGTGTCAATACTCCAAAAGTAAAAACTTCATGTGCTGCAGTCGCTTTGACTTTTTCCCATGTGTTTTAGCCCTTAAATTGGAGATCTATGTTCTGCAACCCTTCTTTAACAATTATTATCTACCAACTAAGCATAGAGAGAGGATAAAAAATAAAAAAACCCCAAAATATCCTTATCTACTCTATTCCTTCATGTTAAGTCTAAAAGCAAGTTGAATTAGACTTAACATGAAAATCTAATTTCATGTTAAGTTCAATTTAATTCATGTTAAGTCTAATTTAATACATTTTAAGTCTAATTTAAATCATGTTATGTCTAATTCAACTTGTTTCAAGTCTACTTTAATTCATGTTATGTCTAATTCAACTTGTTTTAAGTCTAATTTTATGTTAAGTCTAATTTAGTTTCTTTTAAGTCTAATTTAAATCATGTTACGTCTAATTTAACTTGTTTTGAGTCTAATTTAATTTGATTTAACATGAAATTGACATAAAAGTTAAATTAGATTTAACATTATTTAAATTAGACTTAAAAGGAATTTAATATGATTGAAATTAGACTTAAAATAACTTGAAATAGACTTAAGATGATTCATGCTAAGTCTAATTTAACTTATTTTTAGACTTAAAATAAGTTGAATTAGACATAACATGATATAAATTAGTGTTAAAAGGAATTAAATTAGACTTAACATGAACCAAATTAGACTTAACATGGATTTAACATGAAATTAGACTTAAAACAAGTTGAATTAGACTTAACATAATTTAAATTGGACTTAATATAAACCAAATTGGACTTAACATGAACCAAATTAGACGTAACATGATTTAAATTGGACTTAACATGATTTAAATTGGACTTAACATGAACCGAATTGGACTTAACATGAACCGAATTGAACTTAACATATAATCCATGTTAAGTCTATTTCATTTTATTTTAACTCCAATTTCATGTTAAGTCCAATTTAAATTGGACTTAAAATAGTTTAAATTAGACTTAACAAGATTTAAATTAGACTTAAAATGATTTAAATTACACTTAAAATAATTTAAACTGAACTTAACACGAACTAAACTGGACTTAACACGAATCAATATGGATTTAACACGAATCAAACTAGATTTAACATGAACCAATTTACACTTAATATGAACTAAACTGGACTTAACACTAAACTGGATTAAAATTAGACTTAAAAGAAATTAAATTAGATTTAACATGAATCAAATTGACCTTAACATAAAGTAAAATTAGACTTAAGATGAAATTAGACTTAAAATAAGTAGAAATAGACTTAACATGATTATGTTAAGTCTAATTTAACTTATTTTTAGACTTAAAATAAGTTGAATTAGACATAACACGATTTAAATTAGAATTAAAAGGAATTAAATTAGACTTAACATTAATCAAACTGGACTAATGAATCAAATTGGACTTAACATAAAATTAGACTCAAAATATGTTAAATTAGACTTAACATGATTCATGTTAACTCTAATTCAACTTATTTTTAGACCTAAAACCAAAATATGTTAAATTAGACTTAACATGATTCATGTTAACTCTAATTCAACTTATTTTTAGACCTAAAACAAGTTAAATTAGACTTAACATTAACATGATTCATGTTAACTCTAATTCAACTTATTTTTAGACCTAAAACAAGTTAAATTAGACTTAACATAATTTAAATTAGACTTAAAAGGAATTAAATTAGACTTAACATGAATCAAACTGGACCTCACATGATATATATGGAGAGAACAAAGAAGGAGAAGAAAATGAGGGTATTTTAGGCTTTTATGTTTGTTTCTCTCTCTTTGTGCTTAGTTGGCATGATAATTATATAAAAAAGGATTGCAACACATAATGTGACTTTTCTTGGGGCTGAACCACATGGGAAAAAGGTAGAGGGCCTGCAACACATGAATGTTTTACTTTTGAGGCATTGGCACAATTTTCCCAAGTTTTTTTTACTATTTTAAACTCTTTATTTAAAATGAAAAATGTATGTTGGGTAACTGGACTTCAGAAAAATATCACAAAGATAAATATCATACAGAAAAACTTCCTAAACACACTGATATATAAGGTTTGGACCGTTGGAGGAAAGACTCGCTTTAGTTTAAATTTAAATCATAAGTATTCATAGTTGTGTTGAGTGACTGAACTGGGCTTTTAGGATTTTTTTTTCTTTTAATAATCGTTTTTAGTTTTGTTTAAGAAAATAAACAAACATAGTAATTCTGAGTAGCGCCGAGCAGCGGTGGGCGGGGCCTACCGCTTTGGTCTTGGGTTTAGATCAAAACCCAGCACTTTTCCTGAACTGTCGTCAACCCGCGTAAGGCTGGGCAGGTTTGACTGAAAAAGCAAATCGGCCCATGCCCACCCCTACTTTCTAACCCTACAAACTCTCATTTGCATGACTATATTAAAAACTTAGTTACGTTAGAAAAAAGTTTGAAGACGTAGGAAAATTGTCCTTCATCTCACTAAAGATGTAAGGACAATTTGGTCATTTCACACAATTTTATCTTTTCTCTTCTTTTCACTTTCTTTATTTCTAGAACTTTCTAAAACATATCATATAGCATACTAATTAGATATTTATTATATTGTATATTATAAAAAAACATAAATATGAAATTGTTATAGTGTTTTCAGTCGCCAAAGTACAACCATTTGCCAGAACGAACAGGTATCCCCCTACATGCACCGCTCAAACCAAATAAACGATCAGCCCCAAGAATCCTGACATAGCAGACCCGCCGAGTTGACATCTCCAACGTGGGCACAATATAAGCACTATCAATAACTTTCCATAAATTAATATTTTTAGATTTAACAAATATTTTAAATCTAAAGCACCATTGAGCATAATGGAAGTTTCTATATTTTGGAGCAATACTAGAATCATAGCCTAAACAAGATGTATCATTCATATCCATAATTTGTAAAAATATACAAGTAAGATGCAATCAAAACAAGATTAGCACAAAAAGATAACTTGAATCTTTAACTCAAGGCGATTAGACCTTAAATCAAAGAGCACCAAGCTCTGATACCAATTGTTAGACCCTAAGATCGCTATGAAAGAACCCTAGGGGGGTGAATATGGTTTATGCTATTCTAATCTGATTTTATGCTAATTTAAAACTTATTAACAAATATGTTCTTGCAAGATGATATACAATTACTTATGAGCAAGAATATGCAATATGAAAAAAAAGGTGATATATCCTAGTAATGAGATATACTATATGATGTATGCAAGGATATATAG